GGACGAAAGCGCAGCAGGGTTAGAAATTTACTAAGCGATCGTAGTAGATTCACTATGAGATTCACTTTCGAGAAAATTTGAAATTTACTACGCTACTACGCTTTATCTACTACTCATACTACTATTCTTAAATGTATTATTTCTGGGAAAAGGCATACATTTCATAATTTATCCTTGAAGAAGCGTGCAAGATCGACCTATCTCGGCAGCCAGTTCGAAAACGCCCTATCTCAAACAACTTTTCAAGAACGCCCCTATTTCAGAATTTTTTTGAAAAACACCCTATCTCAGAATTCGATTCAAAAATGCCCTCTCTATTATTTGCAGAAGAAAAAATTGCCAGTATACTAAAGACTAAGAGACTAAAGTTATTCACGATTTTCTCTTTGACGCGCAACGAATTGTTTGTATCCGACAATGTCGAGCTATGGTGCGCAATAGATCGTCAATCAGCCTTGCACTTTCGTTTGATGTCGCGATGGCCATGGATCCAGGCGATATGTATGCGTAATATCTCAGCGACATTTTTTTACAGGGACTTGCGCCAGGCTTAGCCTGTAAAGCTGAAAGACGTTCCTTACTGTTGCTTCCATGTAAACATGGATTGGATCGTTTTTTCTGACCAAGTCAAATCTTCATTCTTCCATTGAAGGGAGTCAAGTAGTTCGCTTTCTGTTTGCTCTTCATTTTCAAATTCGGAAGAACAACTGTCATCTGAATCAACTTGATTAGATCCGCCATATTGGAACCGTCATTTTAAATATTCCAAGTTCCCTAAAAATTTTATATTTCTTTTTAAGTCATCCGCCATTTTGAATTTTCAAAATCTGACTTCAGAATCGTAAATAGCTACCCCTAAAACACCCCCCTATAAACAGTTTCAAAAAAATTTTATAATGGGTCTAATCACTGAACTCGTGTCGATCGGAAATCATGAAATTTTCGTATTATTTTCTATACAAAAATTTCAAATTTTTCGATCGACACGAGTTCAATGATTAGACCCAACATTTTTTAAGTCATCTGACTTTAGATTCGTAATCAGCCAGCCCAAAAACCCCCATAGACGTTTTCATAAAAATTAAATTTTTTTTTTTAAGTCATCCACCATTTTGAATTTTCCAAATCTGACTTCAGATTCGTAAATAGCTACCCCCAAAACACCCCCCTATAGCCAGTTTCAAAAAAATTTTATAATTTTTTTTAAGTCATCCACCGTTTTGAATTTTCCAAATCTGACGTTAGATTCGTAATCAGCGAGCCGAAAAACCCCGCTATATACAGTTTCGTAAAAATGTAATAATAATTTTTTTTTTAATTCATACGCCATTTTGGATTCGCCATTTTAAAGCAGCGAGCCCAAACCCCCTCTTGTACGAAGCCTCATTAAAATCGATCAATGGCTTCATATTTACGCCACTTTTGATGAACTGCGGTCCATAGTGCTTTGATTGGGCTTTCAAAATTTTGACGAAATATTTTTCAGTCTTTCCAGCTATTCGAGTTGATAAAAATGGAACCATTACTACGCTATACTTTTCAGTCGTACTTTTAGAACTATTTTCGCTATCGGATACACTTTTTTTCGTCACCAAGCCAAAAATTCTCCTTCCTATGTACAATCGATTTACCTTTTGCCAAGGCAGTAGATAATGTAAAAAAAATTAGGGCAAATTTCACTCACTCCATCAAGATAGCTCGTACATATGTACATATATGTGTACTGTGTGTACACATCACATTGCCTCCGAATTCATTCACCACCATTTTCGACATTTCATTCAATGAATTCAGGGAACGCTTGCATTGAAGTAACATTGAAGCAACATTATGAAAATCCTTGAAACGACAATCAGGAAATAGCTGGCTGGCATCGGCAGCAGCAGCAGCAGCAGCAACACAACACGAAAATGGTGAGAAGCGGAAGGTTGCTTGAAAGCCAGCCAAAATGCCATTGAGCGAGCGATACTGCCGCCAATGCCATTGCCAAAGCCACACCAATTTTTTTCGTTGGCCAGTCTGTACATACATACGTAGATGTACTTAGTTAAACATAAGAACTCCATTCATAAAGTTGTATCAGTTTATTACTTTATTATATCGTTGCTCCATACGAGTACTTCACCGCATCGTTCGCTCTCTTCATCATTGGCGCTCACTTATGTGAAATGCCTGCGAATTTGAGAGATTTGAAGTTGTACATAGTGTCATGTATATATATGTAAAAAATTCGAGTTTATGCAGGACGCACGAGAGCGTCGACAGGAAGTCGCACAGACACGAACACATTCATACATATGTATGTATACAACAACTTTAATCCCTACAATTTCAGCGCAAGCTCCAAAACTTCAATTGGAACAGCTAAGTATCCCCTTTGCAATTTGCCACAGGTACTTGTTTGACTGCAGCAAAATAGCGCTGCCACCTGTTTGTGCGTCCAATTATTGTATTTTTATTCAACCGTATTGTGTGTACATATGCGTGTATGTTTGTATGTAATGGCAAACTGTTTCGTGCAGCCAATGAAGGACTTAGTTACTATGCAAAAAACAGGAGGAAACAAATTTGCTGCTGTTTGCATTTGTTGAAGGTTGTCTATAAATTCTTGCCATGCAACATTGTTATTTTTAACTGCAGCTCGGTGGGTTTAAAACGCTCTAAAGGGCGTCCCTTTATTAATTTGTTGTGTTTCCATTAATGCGGATGTTTACGCACACACAGAAATACATATAGAAGCGATTAACAGTAACCTGTTCCGCAGCTGATTCTTACTAAATTGATATGAATGTTTGCATGTCTGTTTGTAGATACACTAATGGCGAAAAGTATTGGCACAGAGAATTTTTCACGATATGTGCAAGCATGCAGTTTTGTAGTCCATTCAATTTTTGTATAAAAAATCAAGTTTGAAGTTGCTTAAAGATCACGTAAATTTTTGAGAATTTTTTTTTTGAAGGTGTTTCATATAATTTCCATGCAAAGCATATATTTTAGATTTTTTCGTTTTGCGTGAAAAATATGGCCAACAAATAAATTAAATTAAATAAAAAATAAAAGAAAATTTTAAATTATTTTAATTAAATAAAAAACATCTACAAAGTTAAAAAAATAAAAGTGAGAAATTAAAATATATGTAATAAAAACAACCATAAAAAATTAAAAAGGAAAAAACAAAATAAACAATAAAATTGAAAAACTAAACAAATAAAAAAGGATAACAAAATAAAAAAAATTAAATGAAAAGAAAAAAAATATAATTAAAGAAGATAAATGAAATTTAAAAGTAAAATTAATTAAAAAAAATTAAAATTAAATTATTTTAAGAATTAAAGAACTAATAAAACGTACATATATAAACATTTTGAAAATAATAAAAAACAAAAAAATGTTTAATAATATACATACATAAAATCAAAAAATAAGACAAGACAGTGAGACTACAAAAATTTAATAAAATAGTTTTTAATTATATGTATGTACACACACACATACATTTGAAAAAAAATAAGAAAAGATCAAATAAATCTTATTTGGCACTACACCCGTTTGGCGTTACAACCGTAAATAAAAAATAGAAGAAAAATTTGAATTACGCAAAAGAAATGTATACTACAAAATTAAAAAGAAATCGGCTAAAAGTAAAAAATTAAATTAAAACCATAAAAATAAATTGACAAATACAAAGTAAAAACAATACAAAAAAATTAAATTAAAAACACTAAACTAAGTATAAAAAATAAAGATAAAAAAAAATATATAAAAAATAAAAATAAAAAAATAGATAAAAAATAAAACANGAAAACAATACAAAAAAATTAAATTAAAAACACTAAACTAAGTATAAAAAATAAAGATAAAAAAATATATAAAAAATAAAAATAAAAAAATAGATAAAAAATAAAACAATGCAGTTTTGTAGCCCATTAAATTTTAGTATGAAAAATGCAAGTTTGAAGTTGCTAAACATCGCGTTGATTTTTGAGATTATTTTTTTTATTGAAGGTGTTTCGCATATTTTCCATACAAAGTATTTTCGAAATTTCTTTTTGCAGGGAAGAAAGTGCCAAAAAGCCACGGTAAGTCCTAGCTACTTCAAATTTGCACTTTATTATACTATGGCCNATTGAAGGTGTTTCGCATATTTTCCATACAAAGTATTTTCGAAATTTCTTTTTGCAGGGAAGAAAGTGCCAAAAATCCACGGTAAGTCCTAGCTACTTCAAATTTGCACTTTATTATACTATGGCCTACAAAACTACATACTTAAAAAACTCTAAAAATCTGATTTAAATGTTTAAAATTTGCGTGAAAATTTATTAAATTTCGCACAAAGTTTAGAAGTTATATTTTTAATGTTTTTTGTTGTAGTATGAACCGTATCGTCATAAAAAATTAACGGAAAAATTAAAAAGAAAATGGTCCCATATATTGTGAAAAAATCTCTGAGCCAATACTTTTTGCCATGACTGTACTTAAATAGGTATGTACAAGGCCAGGCAGGGTCACCTCAAGTGATACTGTCCGCGTTCTTGATAATATTTTTTTTTCAATATCCTGTTTCCACAATGCCAGTGTCCACAATCACCTGATCCGACCGGTCAGATTTACATAATTATACTGTCAGTTTGGGTTTTGGAGGCCATCTGCTCTATTTTATGAGCATTAAATCGCTGAATTGAATGCATTGGAATGCTAGTTTTGTTAACTTCTTTATTTCTGTGCAATTTGGTCGTTGTACTCTTACCCTTTCCCTAGAACAACGTCCTTGAGGCATTTACGGATTTAAATGATACCCATTTTGTATCGTTTCTTAGCAAAACTCTTGGGGAACTCTCGGAGTGCGTTTGAAAAAAAAACCAATGCTGCCATATGTATGGAAAATATTTTCCACTTTTTAGTATTTTTATTGAAATGAAATTATTATTTTTTCATAGAACTTCTCCTTTTTCTTTTTAACTTTTTCTAATTCAGAATTTTTCCTTTTCCTTTGCTTACAGCGACTTCTTAGTTACAGTACGCGCACAGGTTATGACCAGAGACGAAAGCACCGAGGGTTGGTTACCACTCGCCGGGGGTGGTTTGGCAAATGTTTCAATACGGAAACGTGCTAGACTATCCCCTGGCGCCGCTGGACATGAATATATCATCTATGGCCAAAGAATCTCTGATCAAAGTGTGAGTATTAATAGAAAAGATAAAGAAATAAAAAATAATAAGAAATTAGATAAAAAATAATAAAAACAAGCTAGTGAAATTTATTTGAAAGTAGAAGAAAAATTTAAATACATTAATTAAATAAAATAAAAAATAGAAGAAAAATTAAAAAAAAAAAAATAAGTAAATGAAAAATAAAAAAATAAAAAGGTTAAAACAATATGAAAACATATAATTGAAAAACTAAAAAAAAAATAAAAAAGTTTAGGAAAAAAATAAAATAAAAATGGAAAAATGTAATCAATTCAAAAAATAAATGAAATAATTAAAAATATAAAAAAATATTTTTTTATTTTTAACTCAAAAAATAAAAGAATTCATAAAAATTTTGAAAATAATAAACATTAAAAATATTTAATTAAATGCATAAAGTCAAAACAAAATAACCAACAAATTTTTTCAAACAAGATTTTATTACACATACATATGTACATAGTATAAAATTCAAAAAAGATCAAAGGAATCTTCTTATTTGGACCTACAACCATTTGGCGCTACAACCGTAAATAAAAAATATAAAAAATTAAATAAAAACAATAATAATGAAAGCAAAAAATAACATAAAAATACTATTATGTTCATTAAATTATAAAAAAAAATTAAAAGAAGCCAAAAATAAAAAAAACATTAAAAACAAACAAAAATAAAATAAAATAAAAAAGAAAAGAAGTTTATAATTCAAAGGGCAATAACCAAAAACAAACATGTTAGACAAAAATATTCAACAATTTTAATAAAAATAAATCAAAAATTATATTTTTTATAAATTATAAAAATATTATATTAAGCAAAAAAAATAAAAAGAACAACCACAAATGAAACAAAATAAAATAAAAAAGAAAATAAGTTTATAATTCAAAGGCCAATAACCAAAAACAAACCATATTCAACAATTTTAACACAAATAAAATAAAAAGTGAAAGCTCCCATAAGCGGACACCGATGGTCTCGCTATAAATTAAAATAATATTTATCCTTCAATAGATAAAAACATAGGGACCGGAAAAAAAACAAATTTATGGCGTTTTCTTTTCTACCGACAAATCTCAAGCAGCAAGAAGAGGACAATGAAAAGTCAAAATTGTTTCTAGGAAAGAAAACATCTTTGAATATGGACGTACAGTGGTGGGAAAATAAATAGGGACACGACATTTTAACAAATTTTTCCAATTTTTCTTTTGTTTATTTAATAAAAAATTTTGTTAAAAATTTTGTGAAAAATTTTGTTATAATGTTGTGTACCTATTTATTTTTCCACCACTGTATGTATTTGTGTACATTTACATATGTACATTAGAGTGGTCCAAAAATTCATGTGAAAGACACCCCCTAGGATTGTTCTATACCGAAAAAATATACCCCTATATTTTTATTTTGAAATCAAAAAATATTATATTGGAAAAAAACAACTTTTCGTATAAAAAAAGGCTAGAATTCCATAAAATCAATATTTTTCGATGGGAAACCTAGCTAATTGTATGCTAGGTCTACAGCCAACCAACGAAGTAAATTTACAAAAAAACAAGAAAAAAATTGCCAAAAGGAATATTAGAAATCCGTTTATAAGATAAGGGTCCATCTGATCATTTTGATTGCAAATACAATTTTAATAATTTAATAACTTAATATACAACCATCAATCAATTTTATTTACACCAACAAACTAGCAACTGTCAATACTCATATTATCAATTTACATACTATTTAATAACTATATTTCTAATACTTTTCGCCCTTTAGGTAATTTTAAGCTGTGTCATAAATCGTGATCTGAAGTATTACAAAGTGATGCCCACATTTCATCACTGGCGTGCTGGTAAACAACGCAATGGTCTCACTTTTCAAACGGCTGCCGATGCGCGCGCCTTCGACAAAGGCGTTTTGCGCGCCTACAATGAATTAATTGATGGTAATTATCACTCGCTGGCGCAATGCAGTTGTAATTGTTTGAGCTGCAAGTAACAGCAATTGCATATAAGCGCGCCTGTATGGCTTGTAATGCCTAAATAAATGCCTGCAGTTCCTTTGTTGCTTTTTTGTTTGTGTGTGCGTTCTTTTGTGTTTTTTACTTCACTTTTTCTTCTTCTGCTTCTTCTTCTGCAATTTGTTAATGCTTGATTTCCGTAATTTACCTCAATTAACAATTTTCCTTATTTGTAAATACATACATATGTAAATACTTGCATATGTACATATATACATACAGTTACGCACAGAAGTATTCGTTGTTTAGTTTTTTTCAATCAATGTTGCAAACTTTTTACAAAATTCGCAAAAATTCAAAAAAATGGGCTTCAAAATTACAATCTTTTTCATGGAATTTTTTTGAGTATGAAGTTTTTAGCCGATACAATTTTAATACAACAAAGTACTAGTTTAAAAGGCTAACACCTACCGGGGATTTTGGACAATTTTTTTTTGTTTTGCTGACGGTTTCGCTCGTTTTATTCCATATAAAACTCAACTTGTTAGAATTCATTTTTAATAATTTTTTTTTGGTGGCGGCTTTTGCANCTTAAAAGGCTAACACCTACCGGGGATTTTGGACAATTTTTTTTTGTTTTGCTGACGGTTTCGCTCGTTTTATTCCATATACTTGTTAGAATTCATTTTTAATAATTTTTTTTTGGTGGCGGCTTTTGCAGTTTAGTTGTGTATGTACATATATAAAAACTGGCGCTGCTTTTTCGAAATTTTTGTTGCGAATGATCTTCCGCAATTTATTTCATAAGAAACTCATGCTTATATGGAACAAAGTTCAAAATTTGTCAGCAAATACCAAATATTGAAAATCCACGTACACTTCATTGGACTAAAATTGTCTGGGACTTGGACAATATTTTTATGGGGGAAACAATTAACTTGACAAACATTGTGAATATATAAAAATAAATCCACCCTTGGGCACTTGTTGGAGTCACTGTATATCGTCGTTTAAAGTACAAAACCGCAATCCAGAATGTATCTGGTGTCAGGGTCGTAGGGTTGGAGGTGCATGCGCGTAGATGTTGGGTGTTGTGGAGACTTTGCCCGCATGCACGTCTGGTGTTTGCCAGTTTCGAGTTGGCCTCTCTCAGCAGTTCCGCTTCTTCTATATTTATGGGCAGAGGTTGACCGCCTATGACGACGTTTGCATTACGGGTGTTGAGACTCGTTCTCACTGTGTCACTGTGTAGTCTGTTGAACACCGCTCTGTGTCTTGCTGTGTCGAACGGATGGTCTACGTACGGTTCGATGTCTGGCTCCCAGTCGTGCAGGTGACGTCTCACGCTTCGTGTGGCGGATCGTTTCCACGGTGACATCCCACGGGGAATGGCTTCGACAAAATGGTGTTGTGTTCTTTCACCGCCAGCATCTAGCGTCCAGGTGACGCTCGGAGCCTGTGGCCGTTCGTAGAGCTGCATTTTGGCATGTTTAGGATTTTTCCACTGAGTGTTGCTTGTTCCTGCCGACCACAGTGCCGATGCATAGTTTGCCAGTGACCATCCGATTGCCTTATAGATTGCGAGCAGGGTCTCTAGAGTCTTGAGGACTTTCTTCCTTGCTTTCAGTTTGTTACAGGTGGCTGAAGCGTGCGCGGGGAAGGATAACAGGCTATGTAACGACACTCGCAGAGTTTTAAGGTGCTTGATTGTCGGTATTTTGGCGCCATCGACGAAGACGTCTAGTTCGAGCCTGATCTGCTTGGTACAAGTGGTGAAGAATGTGGCCGGTGATTTCGCGGCGGAGATGTTGAGATTCCTTGCACTGAAGAAATACGATACATCGGTGAGATATTCGTTGTTGGCGAAGGAAGGTTTGCCATGTGGAGAGTAAACAGCGTCGGGGAAGAGTACGCCGCCTTGAGGGACCCCCTGTTTTTTTCAACGGGCTTGGACTTGGCGGTACGAAATTCGAACAATGATTGGCGGGCAAACAGATAGCTGGTTATTCACCGTTTCGTCCGAGTTGTAAGCGACTAGTCCAGGACGTCTTGGCAGAGAGTCGTGTGATCGTGTCGAATGCCTTCAAAGGTCAACTAGCGACTAGGACCATCCTATCACAAAGTCGACGTTGGTTCAGACCGTCGCTGTTCTGTATGGTGATGGCGTTCAATGTTGTGGTCGTGCTGTGCATTTTCCGGAATCCATGCTGGTGTTCGGCTAGCTTGAGATGCTTCGTTGTGCTGGGAATCAGGGGTACTTCCATGTTTTTTGTCACTGGGGATAGGAGGGAGAATGGTCTGTTCGAGTTTCCTGCGTTCACTTTTTTTCTGGCTTAAAAAGGGGAATCGTCCTACCCCAATTTCCACATCTCGGGTTGATAGGGTGGACAGTGACAAGTTGAAAGTGACTGTGATGAACTCTACTCCCGTAGATTTAAGCTTTTTCAGCATCTGCATGGAGATTCCATCTGGGCCTAATGCCTTGGAGCAGGGGCGCACCCAGGAATATATTTTAGGGGGGGTTTTATATTTCTGAATATATATCACCGGAAAATACTGAAAATTTGCTTCAGATAATACGCTCTTTAAAATACATTCATGCAAGTTTTATGTACAGTATGTAATAAATAAATAAACGTTTTAAAATCCATAAACTGCACTTTATTTACATAAGATTAACAGAACTCAAACACTTTTAACCGACTCTAAAAAAAGGAGGTTATCAATACGCCGGAATACATAACTTTTGACCACGTGAACCGATTTCGATAATCCCTTTTTTTATTGGAAAGATGGTACCTCAAGGGTCGTCCCGTAATTTGGTTTAGAGATCCGATGATTGGATCATGAAGAAATTAACGGTACCCCTAAATTTGAAGTCGTGAAGTACTTGTTTAATAAAAAGTTCTATAAACTCAAGATGCGCTCAACTTTTAAAAGTACCTAATAAAAAATTTTAAAAGAGAGTCAGTAAAAATAAATTTATTGATTCCATGAATTTTTGCACTTTTATGTTCATTTTTTCGATTTCTGGTTTCTGGTTTTCGATAGATGGTGATTTTTCACGATTGCTAAATTTTTTTAATATTTCGAGTTCCGAAAAAATTAACTGAACTCTCAAGAAAAACGAAAAATTCATATAAAACGACGGACGAGAAATGGAAAAGAAATTTTCTTCTACCAAAATTTCTTAAATCAGTTTGCAGCTCTCAAGAAAAAAATGCTCGTATATTTATTTCCTCATGAAAATTTACAGCAAAAGCAAAGCGCTTTTTCAAGCAACAGAAATTATAATAAATATTTCTTATAATTTCCTTGAGAGCTGGATTCTTAGCTTTAAGATACAGTTTGTATTTGAGGTTATTAGCTTTAGGGGGGGTTTGAACCCCAAAACCCACCCCTTGTGTGCGCTAATGCCTTGGAGGCTTTGGCGTCGTTGACAGCTGACTGCGTATTTTCTGTTGTAAAGCACGTTGGCGTGTCTCGGGGCGGAGTTTGTGTCCTTCATGCAGCATATTGTGGTGAGTTTTGTTAACAGGTTCTCTAAGGAGGCTAACGATGATTCACATGATAAAACTGTCGTTCCTATTTTCCTCATCATAATTTTAGTTTCGCTCTTCGACTGCAGTTATGCCGGCAGTCGGCTAAAATGAAGCTACCGGCATCACCGGTATCTTATACATGAAGGTCTATGAAGCAAATCTGCGCCTGTGAAACGTAGAAAACCAGGCCACGTATCGTCTATGAATCAGGTGGAGAGCAAGTACTTCCTGATCCAACCCGTTTTCGAAAGTACAGTTTCTGCACTAAAGCTTGCATACTGGAATGCATTTTTGTACATATGTATATTTTCTTTTTTGTCCAGAATATTTGTTTGTTTTTTATACTACGCACTTGCATTTCTTTCAAAGAATTTTTATTTTTTTTTGTATTATAAACTCACTTTCGCTTACTACATTTCGTATGATTTTTTATTCTACTGCTTCTTTATCTCTTTCTCTCTAACTTTGCTTCAAAAAACACTATCGGATAATGTATTAATAATAATACAAACAATAACGACAAAATCATAAACTAAATTCTAATACGACAAAATGTAAATGTGCAAATTCGTGCTTGGTAAGTTGCAATTAGAATAAAAAACACTAGAATTGAAATGTTACAGACTACTGGCTGCCAAATTGTATACTAACAAGCAAAAAATTCTGGGTCAGTGTTATTCTTGAGACGCTTATAGGACTGAGGTTAATGAAAATTTTAATAGCTATACAAGCCTCTGAGGGTCTCATAAGGCACTTTCTTATCGCTGTCTTATTCATCTTTCCGCTTACTTTTCTTTGAGTTGGCTTTTTGCATATTTAGACTTTACATTACGAGTATTTGTTATTTTTTGGTTACTTTACTAACGTTACTTTGAAATGTTTATACTTAAGAAATTTAGAAACTTTAGAAATCACAACAAACTCACGGATTTTCAGCAGTAGATAGTAGCGTAAATTTTACACATCATCGACTTCTAATTTATACATACTAATTTTTTATTTTTGTAAAGTACTTTACATATACATACATATGTATATATTCAGAATAGCAGTACATTTTTGTATCTTTTAAGTAAAATTTTTAAATAATGTACCATATTAAATTCTTCTTTTAGGCCTGGCCAAATCTAATCCATCAATAATATGTCCGCCACTCACCAAATACGACTCTGTTGGCGAAGACGACGTTTTTATGGTAACGTTGAATTGAAAAATGACTTTAATGCACATTTTCAAAATATTCCTTCCTTCTTATTTTTTCAAACACTTACTCAAACAGACCTTAGATCTACCCGTCGAAGCCGACTGCATACAAAAGTCATATTCAAGTCCCGAAGGCAGTGAAAAAAGTCACAGTATGTTGATCTAAAATTTATGTATTTTCTCTCATTTTTCTAACTTTAATCTTATTTGCAACACTTCATATTGGCCAATAGAAAGTATTAGTGTCGATCGTGGTGAACGCATTAGTCAGAAGAGCGAATTGGATAGGTCCACAGATGGTAAGGCCACCATTCACTACATATCGAATGAGAAGTCATGCAGCTTGCAAGCGCCACCACCGCCAGCATTGCTAAGTGCAACAACTGTCGGTGGCAATGGCAACAATGGTGCAGGCAATAATAACAACTGCAACCTGGTAACTACCACCACAGTGAGCGCTGCCATTATATCGCCACCTATCACCACCGTTTCGTCGAGTCAGTTTGAAGCGCCACCACCATCGCTGCCAACAGCCATTGCGACCAGTGAGAATTACTCCTACGTGCAGCTGACAGCGGTAATGAATTTAGTTTATATATCTGCAGTCCAATTAATGCTAATCTTTTCTTTCCATTTCCATCTCTACTCTGTCGTTCCTCTCCACCACGTGTCTACTACTTGACAATTTTTACTTACATTTCTTCCAATTTTTTATTTCATTCTATTCCCGCTGCTTCCTATCGCACCGTCGCCCAACAGGTCCACGACTACAATTATCCGGTTGTCGATCAGCCGGCTGGCGCGCAGGTGCTTAACGCACGTCGCGAGTCGATTAGCGCGCTAAAGAAACGCAACGCTTTGGAAGCTGCACAAGCACTGGCCGCTGCTCAGTCCTCACCTATTGCCGCCGGTGTGATACTTAAGGATCCTGCCAGCAATGTGGACATGATCAAGAAGAGCCAACGTGCGCGTTGTCGCTACTGTCACGAACTCTACAATGATGAGTGGAACGGGAAGGGTGCATGTGAATTTGCGCCCGATCGCTTCCGTTCGGCATTCGAGTGTATTTCGGGAATCGGTTGTGCGCGTTGTATGATTTATCATTGTATGAGCGATGCCGAGGGTGAAACTCCACAACATCCCTGTGAGTGCGTCAATGAAGCAGGTTGCACTAAGCGGTAAGTAGAGGGAAAATATATGAATATATATATATATATTTTAGATTCGTTGCTACGATACGATATTTATCTGTCCCATAGTTGGCTCGGGCTAACACTGCTATCATTGCTCGTACCCTGCCTTTGGTGTTATCCGCCGCTGCGCGCCTGCCATTGGCTGGGAGTATCATGCGGCGTGTGCGGCGGCCGACACAAACCACAAGTCTGACATTTGGAGGGGCGATTGCAACAACAATTCGACAATGGCTACGTTTACGGCTACGAGGTGGAAGCTGATGTTATGAATTCAGACAGTTATGATTATGATGGCAACGGCATTGGCGACTTGGATGATCACTACGATTGTTATAATTACAGTTACAATTTCAACCAATACAATTACAATAATTACAGCTACAATTACAATACTTACAACCAACAAAAACCACTACGACAGCAGCAAAAGCATGCGCTAACAACAAACGCTGGTGGTGGCAGCACACTAACGCAACAATTCGAGCAATGGCATCTTAGCGACGATGCCATTATAGCAAAGGAACAGGAGAAAATTATTAAGCAAAGATTGAAGCAGCAAAAGAAAGAAAAGAAGAAGAAGCTAAGGGCACAACAACAACAAATGCAAGCGCCATTGCACTACGCGCTGCAGCAGGCGCGACCCACAGCGCAGCAGAACGACTATGGGCGCTTGCTGTTTTAATTTGATTTGTTCGGTTTGTTTTTTGTTGGCACTAAGATAATTTTTACTTGCAAATGGAGTGATTTTTTATCCCCTATTTTTGTATTCGAATTGCATTTATCAAAGTTTTTAATGAATTTATTTATTTAAGTTGCGAAAAGGATACAAATTAAATTTATAACGCTCAAATATTTGTGTTTGGCTATACTTGATAATTTTTGGATCGCTTTTACTGCTTTATTTTAGAAGCAAAGTCACAGTTATGCGTTCACAACGCACTTCCTACAGGGCTAGCGAATGTATTTTAAAAATTGTGTCGTTTTGTCAATGATAACTGATGAATTCATACATACTTACTCCACTGTCTTTTCGCATAAATGATTTTTTTTAACGCGTTCAATATTTTTTTAGTACCTAATATACAAATAAAATAAGAAATATTCTAATTTAATAAACTGTAAAATTTTTGAAAATATTTTAAAAGTTTGTTTCCAAGTAACTGGCTTAAAATCTAACTTTAAGTTGTAAAGATAATTTTTTTTTAGCTGTAGAAGCCTGTTTCTTAAGCTGTCAAAGCAGCATTTATACATATAATATTTGTGTGTATATTAACGTTTAATCAAATTAAGTATAAGCTCTTAATTTTTTTTTTTGTAAGCTATATACATACGTATGTTTGTATGCTCTTGCGGGCTATGAATGTTTATTATAGTACTGTATATATATATACACATATTTTTATTTTAATATATTTTTTTAATTATCCGAATGTGCCACTTATAAATTTTCTCAAATACTTACATATTAAATATATTTATTACTTTAATTTTTGTGAGCAGCGCGCACAGTATTAAAAATATTTAAAATCTCACAGTACAAGCAAAACAAAATAAAAATAAAAAGATAGCAAAAAATATTTACAGAGTCGCTAAAAAACTACTAAAACACGATTTGTAAAATGAGTATTAAAAATGACTTGCAAAAAAACGTTTCCGAAAGTGAAAGGCAGCAATGCAAGAATGGGTGAATATTAGCATTGGAAATAAGATGATAATTGGAGAGGCCGGAATTAACTTGAAAATTCTTAAATGTACAAAATATTTATCATTAAATTTAATTGTTTTATTCAAATCTTGTAGCATGTCTATAAAAATTAATTTAAATCGTTTGCATACCTGCTTATACGAAAGAGTAGTATGATTTTGGCGGCAATACTTAATATGCATATTCTTTGCGTAAACTTTTAAATATTTAATTTATGCTTAGCCTATGAAAAATGTTTAGTTGTCCAAAAACAAGCGATTCGCTACAGTGACTCGTTAACCAAATTGAAAAAGGAAACACTCAAAAAAATATTGACGCTACTATTTTACAAAATAAAAAATGAGAAATTCTGCGTACAAAAATTATTAATGTAAAATTAAACAAAAAAAAAAAAATAGAACAAATGAGGTTCATTAGAAAAAATTACAAACATTTTATGTAAGTCTTTCAACAGGATGGTTGAAATGCGTTTCATAACTTTAAAATGCAATGTAATTGAAAAAAAAAAACTAATTGGAAATGTGAAGCGGCGAACACCGCATCGAGTTCCAAGAACAATTTTTTTGAAATGTTAAAAATAAAATAAATTAAATTATGCAGCACGCAGCCCCAAGTAATGCATGCCAAAGTCTGTAAAGCAGCATCGCGCGAGTTTTGCTGTGTTTGCTGTTATTAAAAAGTCTTAATAAATTAAAAATACAAAGAAATACGCGTTTCATATTTTATGTAAAAGGATAATTTTGACTCTTCTTAGGGCTCATGAAGACTCAAAATTATTTCTTTTGTTAGTTTAACAAAAACTGGTTCACCATACATTGCAATAGAGTTCGTTAAATGCCAAAATTATATTTTTCAGCGAAATTAAACTTAAATATGTAATTTAACGCATAGATGTTTCGTATTAAAACATTTTTTTTAAGTAAGCATACATATGTTCAGAAACTTATATTTATTAATAATGCATGATTATAGCCTCATTTCAAATGATGGGGTTTAGGCAAAATTCGCGCTTCACTTGCTTTTAGGCTGGCACATTAATTGTGGGGGGCGCGTGTGAAAGAAACTATGTATAAAGTTAAAGCTAGCGGTCAAATGATTAGTTCAAAAAAAAAGTTTTTATTAACCATTTGCCTGCCACGCTTTACTTCATAAACTCTTACAAGTTAAATATTATTAAAAAAATAAAATAAAAATAAACTATATAAAAAGTCGTACTACTAATAATAAGTGAATGTTGGTAAAACAAAACATGTATGTAAGTGAAAAAATATGCAGCTACTATATAAAAATAATACTACTATTGTATTACCTACTTACTGTAAAATTACTAAAAATCATAAAAGCAAGCAACATACTAACTGTATGTAATAAAACAAGAAATGCTGAGCAAGCAGTCACAGTAAATTGGAAAACAAAAAATTAAAATATCTCCAAAAACTAAAGAAAATCAATAAAATTTAAATAAAACTTATTAACAACATATGTATAATGTATGTGCAAGCATTACTACTTTTATTATTTCACACGAATTTCTAGTTTAGTTTTGAAGTGAAAACACACTTGAAAAATTAATGCAAACAATTTATTATACTATTTACTAATTATTAATTCTGATTATTACTTAAAAGAATTACTGTGTTTATTATTATTATTATTATTGTTGTATTTAAGTAAATATAATAGATATGTATATGCATAAACAGTGTCTAAAAAAAATAAAAAAATAAAGAAATATGCATTTGCATGAATTAACTTAAATATGGCAACATTTTGAATGCAGCTATTCCCAAGAAATCAGGAAATGGCGCTCGGCTGTGCCGACAGTTACATATTTAATGCCAATTGCGTAATCTAATATATGCAACTAAACAATAATAAAACTTATATAAAATGAGGTTGTGCGATATAGCGACAAATGCAGCAGCTAAACAAAAGCAAAAATTTAAATATCGAAAATTCTGTGAACTGTTTACGGCAAGGCAGGGCAGCAAGGGCAAAGAAAATGAGGCAATGCGACAGCAAGATGGAAGTAAAGAAGGAAAGTAAAAAGTCTCTAGAGATGAATTACTACGCTGCTTAATATTCCTTGCCCGTGCAATGCTGCTGAAAATTAATACTACATAAGTGCAAAGTATATTGTATCAGGTGACAAACAGACAGACGGAACTAAGAAAAAATCGCCGAAGGTTCTCAATAGTAAAGACAAGAGCATATTCACATACAGCTCAGCAATGAAGCCAAACAAGCCATAAATATGAGCAATGTGTGTGCAGAGTTCAGATAAAATATTAAGTTAGAAGTTTATGAAACAGCCATTGAAAGGGAAAAAATATAACTACTTTTATTTGTTACGATACTATCAAACACGTCAAGTATTCAGAAGCGTCGCTAAATTTCTTGTTACTAACTAACTAAATTCTAACATTTGTTATTATAATAGCTCATTACTATGGGGAAGCTAATCGATTTGTTAAAAGTAAAAATAAATTCCAAACTTATTTATTGGACTTTTCGTGTAATTATTACTATTAACACTACTAACTACCAAAGAAAATTATTTATTAGCAAATTTTATTAAAAAAAACAAGACGCGAACATTAAACCTTTAGTAAAGTTTCGAAAAGAAAAAAACGATGCATGGATCTGATTGACTGGTACAAAAAAGAAATAAAATCACAAACCTTCGGCATAGATGAATAATTGAAATGGGGACCAATCCAATAAACTATAATAAATGGATCAGAAAACTAATAATAAAGAATTATTAAAAAAAAAAATATTTAATAAAATCTAAAAACAGAAACCAAAAGCAAATTTACGTTTGTTTTTTTTTTCTTTTTGGGGGTTGGTCGAGAGCAAATCCTAATGTGAAGCGTAAGTACGAAATAGATAAAATTGAATTTACCCAATTGTTGGAGAAGTTTACCGCCGATGTGTGCCCTCTTTGAACCAATGCTAAGAAGAGGGCAATGAAAAGGCAGCATTTTTTGTAAAATCGAAAACGCCATAAGTATTAATGCAAAATATTTTTATTCATATGTTTTCATCCTCATAGCAAGAGTCGCAACGAATGCAAGTCGTTTTTCGAGAGTCGAATCGTACCGAAAATTTCACGTCATTGCCTAAAGTTTCCACCCGGCTAATGTATTAAAAGGGAAAAACTTTGCAGGACTGTATAGTTTTTCGGCGATTTTCGTAGTTTACTTATTTCAGCACGACAGTAGACAATGCCAATATTGTCGAGTCGCACAATTTAGCCTAATTAACAACTTACACAATGAGGCTGATTATTTTATTTTATTGAAAATTTATTTTACTTTTATTGTTATTGCTATTTTTTTAATTATCCAATTTCTTTTCTGTGGGGTGAACCTGGTGTTTTAAGAATATTTGGATTCTCTTATCCATTCTGGAATTTCAAGTTCTCTAAGCTAAAAAAACAGAAATATTAATATAGTACTACAACTAGTTCGAAATTCATCGTGTACTTAGCATTTCCGCTTCTCATTTCCACAGGGGGCTTCTTGGGATATTTTCAAAGTTATCCATCAGGCAGCATGGTCAAGAACAGCTGTTTGCCAAACTCGATTTGTTTGTTGTCGCTGCAGTTTTTAAGAAATCTGAAAATTTTCAATATTCCGTGAAATATGGAGAAGTTAGAAGCGCTTAAAATATCTTCTATGCGACCACGTACAAATATACTCGATAGACCGCTGTCCAAGGGCAAAACCGAGGTATCTCAAAGTATTGTGGCTCTACTCTTCAGTGAAATAGTGCAGTACTGCCAGAGTCAAGTGAGCACCGTCCAGGAGTTACAAAACAGGTGCATTTTATCAAACACTTTTACCCACTATAATACAATACATACTTCATTCTATGCTTTCCGCAAAAAAGATTACATGAGCTGGGCCAAGATGTAGGCACACGCGTTATTGATTTATATTTCTTTCGTGAACGTAATGGTAAGCGTGAAACAAAGCTAACGCAAATGCTGTTGTTCGTGAAGACAACTGTTTGGAAGAATTTATTTGGCAAAGAAGCTGAGAAGCTGGAACACGCAAATGATGATGAACGCACTTATTATATTATCGAAAAGGAGCCGCTAGTGAATGCGTTTATAAGTGTCCCAAAAGATAAGAGTAACTTGAACTGTGCAAACTTCACTGCAGGCATTGTGGAGGCAGTGCTCACACATTGTGGATTCGTAAGTAGTAAAATTAAAAAGTTTTCATTTAAGTTCGTATATTTCATGTATTAACATATCTTCCATTATAGCCCTGCAAGGTGTCGGCGCATTGGCATAAAGGCACAACTTACATGGTTAAATTTGAAGACTACGTAATTGCACGCGACAAACAGTTAGAAGAGAAATAAACGTGTACGCAATATTTTTTACATATGTATATTGATCACGGTTTTATGTTCAATTTTCCATTTAATTAGACTATGTATACCAATTAATAAAAGCTTATGCACACATTTCAAGAATATTTGGCTAATTTTCATCAACCGAATTCGTGTGCTTTCGATAAAATCCATTTTAATTGAATTTGAATCGACGATCCTTGTATGCCACCTGCCCGGTGCGATATTTATGCTCTCGACCAGCGCGTTCTGTTTTCAGAGCCCATGCATAGACCACAATGGGCAGCACCACGGCAAAAAAGCCAGCACGGAAAGCTACACCTGTTGGCTTGAAATGGTCATAGTTGGAGACACGCATAGCTTGGAAGCGAGCTAAACCGGCATCGAACTGTTGAGGGGGTGGGAAATATTACATTAACTTAGATTGGGAAACAAAAATATCTAAGCTGCTGATGACATAACAGCGCGCAGAAGTTGTTAGTATATTTACCAGAGTACCACCTTCGCCTGTGGCATGTTTGAAAGGATTCGAAATTTGTTTCAAATATTCAGCACGAAGTTTTTGTGTCTGCTCATGTTTTCGGTGCAGGAAATCTTTTTCCGCTGCTGATAAATCAGGCATTTTTTCTGATTGTTTCCCTTTTTACACACAAATGCAGCAAATCCACCCAACGATTTAGCCCTGTCAAGTGATTGTCAAAGTTGAATGTCAATCTAATTNCGCAGGAAATCTTTTTCCGCTGCTGATAAATCAGGCATTTTTTTCTGATTGTTTTCCTTTTTACACACAAATGCAGCAAATCCACCGAACGATTTAGCCCTGTCAAGTGATTGTCAAAGTTGAATGTCAATCTAATTTGAATTTTATTGGCAATGCTGTGGGACAGGGTTTTGTAATAGATTATTAGTAACATCCGATCGGATGCACATTGAAAATAGTCGGAAATCCGGTGTTTATTGCAGATACATTTGTGTTGTGGATTTTTAGTTTCGTTAAAACTTAAGAAATGTGTCCATGCGAATTAAGAATTGCAAAATATACTTCTAAGATATTTTATAAAATCCGCGTTTTGATTCGCCACAACCTCATCAATTTCGTCCGTTTCGCCAGTCGCTAATGTTGGGGGAAAAACGACGGCTATTAAATGCTTCCTCAACGAAGCGAAATTTTTTTTTTTAGTTTGTTTTTATTGAAATAAATGGATAATGCGGCCGCTGTGGTCTAGTGATAAGCAGTGCGCGCTTCCACTCCGCAGGACCTGGGTTCAAGCACTGGTCCAAGCAACATCGCAAAAAAATCTAGAAAAAAGGTTTTTTCTTGCCAGCGGTGGCCCCTCGGCAGGCAATGGCAAACCACCGAGTGTATTTCTGCCATGAAAAACAGCTTATCGTCGAAATACAATCGCCGTTNTGGTCTAGTGATAAGCAGTGCGCGCTTCCACTCCGCAGGACCTGGGTTCAAGCACTGGTCCAAGCAACATCGCAAAAAAATCTAGAAAAAAGGTTTTTTCTTGCCAGCGGTGGCCCCTCGGCAGGCAATGGCAAACCACCGAGTGTATTTCTGCCATGAAAAACAGCTTATCGTCGAAATACAATCGCCGTTCGGAGTCGGCGTAAAACTGTAGGTCCCAACTCTTTGTGTGACAACATCAAGGCGCACGCCACAAATCGAAGGAGAAGCTCGGCCAAACACTAACATATGGGTAAGCGCCAAATCTATTATTATTATTATTAAAAGGACAAGCTGTATTTTGTAATCCGGTAGCTAGTTCTATACATATGTACAACCGATTGATGGGAATCCGACATTTAATCAAATTCCTTTCACAGATAAATTGTCACTTACATTGTATNTCCAGCGGTCGCCCCTCGGCAGGCAATGGCAAACCACCGAGTGTATTTCTGCCATGAAAACCAGCTTATCGTCGAAATACAATCGCCGTTCGGAGACGGCGTAAAACTGTAGGTCCCAACTCTTTGTGTGACAACATCAAGGCGCACGCCACAAATCGAAGGAGAAGCTCGGCCAAACACTAACATATGGGTAAGCGCCAAATCTATTATTATTATTATTAAAAGGACAAGCTGTATTTTGTAATCCGGTAGCTAGTTCTATACATATGTACAACCGATTGATGGGAATCCGACATTTAATCAAATTCCTTTCACAGATAAATTGTCACTTACATTGTATATATTTATGGACCTTTGTAAGCATTCTCATACCTGCAAACATACATACGTACATACGTACGTGCACTTCAGTTACCTGCATGATAAACGCTTCAGTGAGCAAATAAATTTGCCAGCTAAGCAAATGCACATGCACAGTAGAGAGACAGCCGAAAGGACATCAAAGTCCTACGCAACGCAAAGAAAGAAGAAAAAAAAAAAAAACACAAACAAACCACAACCAACTGCAGCAACTTCTTCCTCACCCCTATGTTTCGACTTAATTTCTAACATCACACGCGCACCACAGTACACAAATACAAAATAACATTACGTGCTTGCGTATAGAGAAGGCGGTGGCTGTCGTGTGCATTTCCACAACAAGGCATGGGCGCATGTTATCAGAAAAGGAACAATATGTATTTAAATACATACCTATGAGTGTGCATACAGTTATATATGTATGACCGCACGAAAAAAAGAAACAAATTAAATAGTCGATGCCAAATGATGAGAAGCTGTATACTGCGCATGTGCAGCAAAATGATATGCGCAGATTTGCGCTTACTGACTGACTGGCTGCTCGTACAACGACGAAAATTGCATAGGATGACTATGAATATTGTATAGATTGGACTTTTTAGAATGTTATTGTTATTGTTGGTGTTGATGTTGCTATTATTGCAATTGCCACTACTGCTGTAATGTTTTTTTGTAGGCACCATGGAAGTGGTGAGCGCGTTGCTGAATTATTGTTGTGACAAACTACCCTTGACTTAATTTTACATATTTATGTACGTATATATGTACATTAGAGTGGTCCAAAAAAAATAAAGTCGCAATTTTAATGCCGCCACCCCCTAGGATTGTTCTATACCGAAAATAATATACGCCAATTTTTTTATTTTGAAATCAAAAAATATTGAGGGAGTCCTCAAGGAAAAACACTTTTCTGTAGAAATGGTATACAATTCTTGAAAATCAATATTTTTCCATCGAAAAACTGTGGTTCCCTTCAGGAGACTTCCAGTATTAATTCTCAATTGTTTATTTAACCGTTTTTTAATATTAAAGATTTTCTGGGGGTATTGGCGGACCTATAAAATATAGTTACCATAAAAAAATGGTTAAAGAAAGAATTAGGTATTATTATTGAGCGTCTCCTTAATAGGAACCGAGTTTTCCGATCTGAAGATATTGATTTTCAAGAATTCTACACTTCTTCTACGAAAAGTTTTTTTTTCCCCATATAAAATATGTACATCAAAAACTTTGAGCGCTTGGGCACTCCCTGTTTTTTTGTTTATTTCAAAATAAAAAATAGGGGTATATTTTTTTCGGTATGGAACAATCCTAGGTGGTGGTGGCATTAAAATTCCGACTTTGCTTTTTCACATGCATTTTTGGACCACTCTAATGTACATATGTACATACAATCTACATAAGTATATGACTTACATATATTCTCCTTTCAAATGATTTTTTTTACATTATTGCGAAAGGTGTTGGATTCGGTGTGAACATTTTGTAGAATAGAACATGTACCTACATACATATGTATGTTTGTCTATGAATTATGGTTTATTTTAAAGTTTTTGCGAGTATGGGTGCTTTAAAGTGAAATGCGTTAATGCACATAAACTAACATACCTATGTACGAGTATGGATTTGTAATTAGGAAATAATAATTTATAATTGATAAGTGTTGAAAAATATGAATCTTTATACTTACACATATAAAATCAGCCAAATATTTTTGCTGTCGTATTAAGCTATCATTTTCTACTACTTTGTTAATCTTTCAATAAAAGTTTTGAATGTTTACAAATATTAGGTGCAATCCCGTATTCCTCGGACTCGGACTAGTAAAACTGTCAAGAAACAAAAATTCGCTCAGAGCGAGAGAGTAACATTGAAAAGTACGGGATCGCTTTCTAGTAAAAAATGGTAACTTCTGTCAACTTCAACATAACCTCCAAATTTTGGTTGTAAATTTTTGCTTANTAAAATCTGACTGATTCTGACTATTTCTGACTACACCTTTTCCAAGAGTACTTCAGAAAGCATCAAATGTACTTCAGAATAGTCATTTGTACTTCAGAAATAGTAAAATGTACTTCAGAATAGTAAATTGTACTTCAGAAAAAGTAAAATGTAATTCAGGATAGTCAATTGTACTTCAGAAACCGTAAAAAGTATTTCAGAAACTGTAAAGTTTTCTTCAGAATAGTCAATTGTACTTCAGAAACTGTAAAAAGTATTTCAGAATAGTCAATTGTACTTCAGAAACCGTAAAATTTACTTCAGAAGACGAAAGTTACTACATACATATTGTAATTATTTAAATGGTATATAAAATAGTATTTTTAAATATGTTTATTTTTTTAATATATTTTCCAAATTACAAGTCCATAGAAGCAGTTTGTTCGCAATGTCTACTATATATTTAAGAATGAAACAATTAAATTAATGCAGACTAAATTATGTTCCAACTGCCAGGTCGTATAAAGATAGTGCATCTGCATGGATGAAAACTGGTATAATGTTGAATCGCTATGCCACAATCGCCACCAACAACNTAATTTACTTGTAATTTGAAAAATATATTAAAAAGTAAATATATTTAAAATCACTATAATATATATACTATTTAAATAATTACAATGTGTACGAATTTTCGTCTTCTGAAGTACATTTTACGATTTCTGAAGTACAATTTACGGTTTCTGAAGTACAATTTACGGTTTCTGAAGTACAATTGACTATTCTGAAGTACATTTTACGGTTTCCGAAGTACAATTGACTATTCTGAAGAACATTTTATGGTTTCTGAAGTACAATTGACTATTCTGAAGTACAGTTGACTATTCTGAAGTACATTTTACAGTTTCTGAAATACATTTGACGCTTTCTGAAGTACTCTCGGAAAAGGTGTAGTCCGGACTCGTACGGGATCGCAACTATTACTTGATATAAGAACGCATGATTTCTTCAAAGGAAAGTCCAAAGCCCCCACTCATCCAGATCCAGTCGTTCTCTTGAGCTGATTTGGAGGCCACTACCGCGTACGACGTGCGTCATTCAAGGTTCGAACATAGTACTCATCGCTTGTAGAGCCTCATTCCCAGTGAGGTTTCATTGACCAAAAATCCAAACTGGATCCACTGAGAGAATAGTGTATACGCTAAGTATTAGATCTCTGTATCTCTTACTTGCCGTTGGACTCATTTGTATTTTTGTAAAAGACTAGGGCTAAAATGGTATCCCGACTTTCTCAAAATATGGCGATGTGTTCGTCCTAAAAATTTCGACAATAGCAAACATCTGCCGCAACTTTCTGTGTCTGGCTGCATATGTTCAGTACATTGATTGATATTGGTGATCAGAAGGGAAAGCAAGTTAAATATTATACCCTTTTATTATTTTCCTTTGGCGTATGGTGAATATTTACCTGGTCTATGTTGGATTTAGTAGGTCTAAAGTCAAACAGATAAGCACCAATCCGTTCGCTGACGGTGGTAATTATCTCATCAACTCCGTTACTACGACTGGGGGCTCGGTTTCATCTTCTCCACTGATTTGAGTGCTGTTACCATCCAAGAGGATAGAAAAGTGTTCCCTACATAGTTTACATTTTTTTTGGACATCGGTTACTAGGTTGATTTGTTTGTTGTTGTAGGGATTTTCCCTGATTTTGAGGCCTTCCGCAAATCACCCAACTTTGTCATAGGGGTTTCTCTTACTTCTTCGCCGTTAAGTTTCCCTCTCACCACAAATCAAACACCGAATTTGATCTCTTTTACGTGGCATTTGTAGTAAACGCTGGAAGGTTCCACGCGTTCAATGCCCCATCGCTTTGCCAATGAAATTCCTACATTTGGTATTTCCTTGGCACTAAAATTATAGCACTTTGCCATGGTCGGAATCGAGAGAAAGCGGTCTACGGGTACTTCAGAAGGGCCCCACTCAACGGCATTCATTGAGAGTCGGTCACCACCTACCACGACTCCCGGCCTATGGACCCCGCGATCGGAGCCCCATCACTACCTTTTGCACACGAGACCCGCGCTACTTGGTCCCCGGAAAGGTTAGGATATTATAAGTGCTTTTACAGCTGACTGTCCAGACTCGCAACATCTAGTTTCTTGGGCCTACTGTTACTTGAGGTTGACGATAACGACTGATAGACAAAAAGACCCAGACGGGGACTAGTATTACCGCTACAACATCAAAAACCAAGACAAATACGAACACAAAAACAAATACGAAGAGCAACCGAAGAGTAATACGAGTATGACGACAAAGACGAATTGGAATTCGGAAGACGATTACGAACGTGAATACGTAGAATATACGAAGATTAATACGCACCCAAAGATGAGTAAGGAGATGAAAACAAAGAAAAATACGTAGGCGAACACGAATACGATCATGAAGAGAAGTATGAAGTTGAAACGAGGTTGAATACGAATTTGTAGACCCACCGAAGACGAGTACGAAGATGAACACGAAAAATTCGAACATGGTGACGAAAACGAAGACAAACGCGAATACGAAGATTAATATGAAGATAATTGCGTAGTGGAATACAGGGACAGCACGAATATAAATGCAAGGAAGAATACGACGCATACGAGCCGAAGATGAATACGAAGATAGCGACTACAACAAACACAAAGTTGAATGTGAAGACTAATATGAAGACGAATACATATGTATATGAAGACAACGGCTAAAATGAAGACGAATAAATTTTCGGGATCCTAGAAAAGCAGCCGAACTTCGAATACGATGGCAAATACGAAGACGTATATCAAGATGAATTCGAACACGGCCACAAAAAAGAAGACTGACACGAAAACGGAGAGGAATACGAAGATGAGGACGAATACGAAGACTCTTGCGTAGACGAATACAAGAACAGAACGGAGTTAAAAACGAAGAAGAATACGACGCCTGCGATCCGAAGATGAATACGAAGATAGCGACTACAACAAATGCAAAGGTGAATGCGAAGACTAATACAAAAACGAAACGTATGTTAAAACAACGACTAAAATTTAAATTTTTTTTTCTAAAAGGGACCCTTAAAAATCTATACAAGCAGCCGAACTTTGACAGTAACTGGTACTCCTTGTTTATAGGAAAGGCTCAGTTTGAAGGATAGCGATTCAGATAGAAACGCGAATTTTGCCATTCAAACCAAAAATAGTTTCATGAATTGGTCCAATTAAGCATTTTAACTATTTAAAGAATTTTTACCTATCAACGTAAATCGCTTAGCAACATTTAACGCAAATGTGCCGAACGCTTCTATGCATTCACGTTCATATGTATATGTGTGTTTTACTTGTATGCGTGTTTTGTGAACTATGGCTAAAGGACTAATTTTACAAGAACTTTAATTAATTGACTTCCTAATTGGTTTACTTAGTTTGATAAAATATATGTATCAAAAACCTTATCTTTATTCAAAAAACCCCAACCACTGTACGACATTTGATGCCATCCAGGTGAAATTTTATGTGATAAATCAATAAAAATTCAGCAAGGAGCAATAGGCGCAACAACAAATCTCAAAAGAAAAATGCTTTACACGTTTCCACTGCGCATGTCAGGCTGCGCACTACACATTTTACAGAACAGCAGACTTAAACACAAAAACAAACCAGCCACTCGACCAGCCACGACCAACGAACGCAGCAACGTCAACCCACCACCACCCAAATTTGGTGCATGCCCTGTGCACCAGCTCAAACGCGTCAAACGAAACGAAGTGCTGTTCAGTTGCAAGAGAGTCGGCGTCGTGTACGGAACCAAAGGATACCGAGAAAATTCGACATATAAAAGGAAAATAAACGTTTGCGCATACAAACATACATACATACAAACAAGAAAAATATATACATATATATGTATGTAGCTTAACGGTGTAGCAGCGCAGTGTGAAAAAGGATATCCAGCACAGAGTTCGGGTTGAGTGCAGCTGTGTCAGCTTAAAGTAAACCAGCTACGACTCGACAGCGGACAGTGGACGCGTCGGATATACTTACATGCATATATGTACATATGTACACCCATTAGCACACTCAAGCTCGCAAGTAGTCAGACCATTATCCAACCGACGAAACGAATCGAGTGATTGAGCGAGCGCAAGCTGCATAAGTGGACGACTGCTGAGCAACGAGCTCAGTGCAGCACAGCTGAGGTAGGTGGGCGTTTGTAAGTACAGACATATGTGCATATGCTTCTATATCGTCTCGGCCCAGCACGTTGGGATTTTGGTGGAATAAGGCGGTTTCAGCGTGTGGTAGAGGTGGTGGTGCTGTGTGTGTGTTGGTGGCGTTAGGCGCGCGCTTCTAGGCTTTTTTTCAAGTGTGTCTAGGCTGGTGGCTTACGTTTTGTTGCTGTCTAGGGTTCGATTTTAACGTGTTGTGTGTGTGTGTGTGTGTGTGTGTGTGTGTGGGTATGTTTTCGGCACATTGTTTGCCACGGAGTTGCGCCGTAGTTCGTTGTGTCACCATGCTTTTCCGCCAACGGCGAGTACAACAAACTCGGTGCGTCACTTTTTCCAACTCGGCTGCATTTGGTTGAGCAGCGGCAAATTTTCCGTCAGGACGCGCTTCAACGTTGTTGCAGACTGGTAGCGCACAGGGGTAAAATACATGCGTACATACATACATATTTAAATAGGAAGACAACCAAATACATGGGCTGTATTCTTGAAAACAGTCAAATAATTGATTTATTACCACTTTCGAGTTTTGCGTAAACATTGGAAAAGTGTGAAGTGATTTCAATTGAAAGCTTTCATTTTAACCTCTGCAAGAATTGCTTAACTTTGACAGTAAGCATTTTGAAGAGCTATTGGAGCTATTTTATTGGGCTGCTGGAATGGCGGGTAATTGAGAAACTTAAGAATGCCGTCGAAGAGACAGGATAGGATGTGCACATGTTTGTGCGTTTGAACGCGGCATTAAGTTGATATCAAACTAGTTGCAAGGATTTGAAGTGTGAGTGATTAGGATGTAATTTGATTAAAAAAAACAAATAGTTTTGTGAGAAGATCTGTTATTTTTGTTGCGAAAATTTTACTATTAGGTCAAATAATAAAAAAAATTACAACAAATCACGCGTGTTCTTGTGTACGCGAGCCAGAAGTAAAGCTTCCTTGGTTGTTCTTTTGGCAACGGTGTCTTGACCGGTGTCTCTTGGATGATTGTCCTGTGCCTCTAATAAATTTCTGAATATCTAAAATTTTGATTGAGCTCAACAATATATTGTTATACATAATTATAAAGGTCTATAAATCCTCTTTTCAAAACATTTAAAATCGAATGAAAAATAGTCATAGTGTTATAGAAACTAGAAAAATAAATTTTTGAAAATCGAAAATTTAAACAAGTGCCCAAAACTTTAATTTTTTAAATGCTTCTTTTTTTAATGGAAAATAAAAATTAAAAGAAATAAATTTCTGAATACATACATATCTAACAGTTTTCATTGAGCTTAAGGCCGTTTCTTTATGAAAAAGTTATGTGAAAAACAAAAGTTTTGAAAAGGGGAATTGTTGAAATTTGAAATTTTTGAAAAAAACCGAAGTGTTTGGAAAACGTAAAATATCAAAATTGAAATTTTTGAATGTCAAAAATATTTGTAATTCTTAATTTCTGCAAATGGAAAAATTTGAAATTCACAAATTTTTAAGATCGAGTTTTGGAAAATGGAAATTTTGACAATCTAAATGCGAAACAAGTGCTCAAAAATTTTCAGATGAAATTATACCAGGGGAAGTAATAAGAGCGAGAATAAAGATTCGACAATATCTTATTTGAAAATTTGGCTTTAAAAATTTCTATAAGAAACCCGAATGTCAAGAAAATAATGCAAAAATGCTGTTTTATTATTTGACTTGTTTATAATTTCAACATGTATACATAATTGTAATTATTTTTACGAATGCTTTAAAACGAAAATTTTTGAAAAAATCAAAATTAAAAGAAATAAACTTCTAAACAACTAACAATTTTCATTGAGCTAGAGCTCGTTTTTTTATGAAAAAGTTTTGTGAAAAATAAAAAAATTGAAATTTTTTAAATTCGAAATGTTCGAAAATCGCAAGTTTTAAAAATTTAAATATTTCAAAGTCGAACTTTAGCGTCAAGCCCTAGAGATATCCCAATAAACATAAGGCTTGGTTAACAATTCGAAAATGATCGGAAAACAAATTATTTTTTCGAGTCGCACCTTCGATAACGAATATGGAATATTTAGGTTAGTATTCGATTCGAGAACTAGGCCATTCTCCAGCAAAACGGAAACTTCGTGATCCAATGTATTTTCCCTTCGTTATGAACTCGAAATCTAGCCCATTATCGAATTAAAATTTTAATGAGAGAGAGAGAGCGGTTGCCTTATATTTCCCTTCGAGAATAAGCTGGATTCACTTTCTCTCTTGTTAAGACTCTGGTAACCCTATTTCACCTCCTAGTATGTCAAGCGGTCACTAGAAGAAATCAAACACATTAGGGGGAGTTGCGACCAAAAGCTAAGCAGATTAACTTTATGGCGCGCTGAAATTATTGGCTTTCTTCAGAACTTCAAGTCTACACTAGATCCTGTGATAAGTAATGGGGGTACAGTAGACCCAAGGTGGCAGTGTGCATCCCCCTTTATTTCTACATTTTGAAAATTCTATAGATGAACTTTCGTTTTCACTAAACATCAAAGCACAGCAAGTGTACCTAAAAGTATGCACCATTTACTTTTATAGTAGGTTCTCTTAGTATTGCATGTTCCATATTTTTAAGCGCACTTACTCTATTTTGAGGAATAAATTTTGTGAATTAAACGTTGAATTTTAAGACTTTTTAATGACCCGATAATAGTTTCAATTACAGTGCTTTATCTTCACTTGTGACATTTTCTTAAATCTCTAAAAAAATGAGCCAGAAGAGCAGTGCACGCATTAAATCAAAACGCCGTAGCGGCGAGCCATGGGTCTCCAACAATCGCGTGCTCAACAGCGCTTCGACCACGAAGAAGGGCACTAATCTCGGTCGCAATCCGAACTTCGATACAGATGAGACTAAGCTGCTCATACAGCTGTGGGGTGATCCAAAAGTGCAGCGCACGCTCATTATAGCACACAAAAAGCATGCTGTGCTCTGTGACTTGGCGTCTAAGATGCAACAATATGGCTACTTTCGTTCGCCGGAGGAGATCAGCACACGCATTAAAAATCTCAAATGTTTCTACAATCGCTTGAAGAAAGAGATCGACGCGGGCATTGCATCGCCAGCTGAGCCGACTTGGAAGCACTATGCCGAAATGGATGCGATTATGAAGCGACCGATATTTAGTGTGCGCCCCAATGAAGTGCCACCACCATCGCTCAAATATCAATTGGAGAAAGCGCGTGAAGAACGCGAGGAGCGTAGACGCAAGATATTGGACGAAGGTAAGTGAAGCGAACTCTTTAATTTGTATGTAGCTTTTATAATTTCTCTTTTCTTTACTCTTTGCAGGTGGCACAGTATCCGAAAGCGACGACGGACTCGACGAGCTGGTGGCATTGAGTAATGGTAACTCCTCCAAAAATGAGATTGATGATGGCATAATACCCGATGTCGAAGTGGACATCAACGATGAGGCTTTTGCGGCCATTGCAAGTGCCGCTGAGAAAACAGTGAAGGCGCTTTCGGCTACCAAGCGGCGTAAAGTATCGAAGGCCAGCGAAGGCAGCTTGGAGTTGGGTAGTGAATTCGAAGATGAGCGCGCGTCTGAAAGTCGCAGCAATGGTGGCAATGATATGGGCGATATGCTGATTAAAGAGGAAGACGACAGCATGGATAGTGATGAGTTTCCTTTGTGCAATGGCATTAAGCGAAAGTCGGCAGATAGCGAACGTGGTAAAATAGCACAAAAGCAACCGCCAGTTGAGGCGAACAAAACGGCAACATTGGGTGGAAGTACTGCTATCAAAGAAGAGCCCATCGATGTAGACGCCGAGGATGAGATCGAGTCCATCGACCCACTGAAATCACGAATGCCCACACTCATCGATCGCTTGACCGCCAGCTCGTCAAGTATTATCATACCCGTCTCGAGTCCCATGACTATTGTCTCCAGCGCAGCCAATGCGTCTAAAGCATCCACCACCACTACGACGTCAAGCGCGCCACAAGGAAAGATTTCTTTGGTGCCAACAAATTTTCTCATGCAACCTAAGCCGCCCACGCCGACCGCAATCGCGCCAGTAGTAACCCCAGCGCCAGCTCCAACGCCATTGATACCGTTGCATCAGTCGCAAATACAATTGCTGCCCAATGCTTTGAATACCGCTGGTAGTTTGCCACCAGGACGCATTTTGCTAAGCGGCGCCCCAGGTGTTACCGGCGCGCAGGGTACACCGACAAGCGCGGGCTTTGTGGCTACGGGTCCGGGCGGCATGAAACTGCTGCTGGTGAACGCTGACCAAGCCGCTGCGCAGATGGGCGCAAGCAACGCGGCTTTAAGCAAGCAACTGCTGCCGCAGCTGAACGCGGCGATACTCCAACAGCAGCAGCAACAACAACAGAAGCAACAACAACAGCAGGCCCAGCAACAACAGCAGCTGCAACAGCAACAGCAGGAGCAACAAGCGCAGCAAGAGCAACTGCAGAAGGAACAACAGCAGCTGCAGCAGCAACAACAACAGTTAAAGGAAGCAGAAGAAGCCAATGCACAGGCGGCCATCAAGCGGCAGCAGAAACAACAAAAAGATAAACAGCGACGTGATGAACTACTATCACGCAAGGAAGCCGCCAGCATGCGCATACTGCTGCGTCACATTTATAATGCGCAAACGGAAAGCAATGAAATACAGCAGCAACGGCTGGCGCTCGAACGCGATCGCTTCGAATTCGAACGCACCGCCGTAGACCGCTTCTTTGCCGAGTTGCCAAAGTTATTCACGCAACAGCAGCAGCAGCAACAACAGCAGGCGCAAGTGCTGCAACAGCAACAACAGCAAGTTGCCGCCGCTATGCAGGCGCATACGCAACNGGGCGCAACCAACGCGGCTTTAAGCAAGCAACTGCTGCCGCAGCTGAACGCGGCGATACTCCAACAGCAGCAGCAACAACAACAGAAGCAACAACAACAGCAGGCCCAGCAACAACAGCAGCTGCAACAGCAACAGCAGGAGCAACAAGCGCAGCAAGAGCAACTGCAGAAGGAACAACAGCAGCTGCAGCAGCAACAACAACAGTTAAAGGAAGCAGAAGAAGCCAATGCACAGGCGGCCATCAAGCGGCAGCAGAAACAACAAAAAGATAAACAGCGACGTGATGAACTACTATCACGCAAGGAAGCCGCCAGCATGCGCATACTGCTGCGTCACATTTATAATGCGCAAACGGAAAGCAATGAAATACAGCAGCAACGGCTGGCGCTCGAACGCGATCGCTTCGAATTCGAACGCACCGCCGTAGACCGCTTCTTTGCCGAGTTGCCAAAGTTATTCACGCAACAGCAGCAGCAGCAACAACAGCAGGCGCAAGTGCTGCAACAGCAACAACAGCAAGTTGCCGCCGCTATGCAGGCGCATACGCAACAAATGCGATTGAATCCGCCGAAGCTAGTCTTCACCACTGCAGCGGTGCCGGGTGGCGCCGCCAGTCTAGCCGGCGTAGCGGGTGGCACGACTATCTTAACGCCAACTAAGCTGACGACGAATGCGATGCCCAAGTTGGCGCCGGCGCCTACGGCCGTCATTGCACAATCGCAAGTGCAAGCGTCTGCGGCCATGTCGGTAGTGGCAAGCGAGGGGGCAGGGAGCGCGCAAGCAATGGACGTGCAGTTGGTAACGCCAAAGGAGGAGGACGAGGACTGAGGAGGGGCAAGTGATGTGATTGAGTTTAGAGGCGATAAAGCGGGCGGCTAGCGGTGTCTGCAATAATTGGGAGAAATAAAGTTGGGATAATATTTTTGGGTGAAATTAGAAAGCACAGAAACAAAAAATAATGTGGGCAATGTATAGGGAATAAATTAAAATTGACGAAAATAAAATAAATAAAAATGATTCTCAGTAGTCTCATGGCAAAAGCATCCATGCAATGATATTAAAAAGGAAGCCTATCAATTTAATTAGGGATTCGCGCATAAAAAGTATTAAATTAGAAATACGGAAGCACAAAAAAACCTGTTTTTGAGGGAAATTAACTTCCTGAAAATAGAAATAAATTAAATTTAACTAAAATTAGATATTTAGTAGATTCAGCGTTAATACATATATGTATGTACATGTAAAATGATATTAACCAAATTAGGCACCACTAAGTGGAAAAAAAGAAGTCGCGAAGTTTTTTCTTTTACTTAGTTACATTCCTTTAGAGCGTCAAACCTAGAAAATACACAGTAAAATATTTAAACGAATGTACTCAAATAAAAAATGCTCAGTGATTCTTTAAAATTATTTATATGTATGTATAGTATATTTGCACACAATTTTTTTTTACAATTGTAATTTCAATACATTTTAATTGCTTTTTGGTTTAAAAGTGATGGGTGTTTGCTGTTGTTACTTTCTCATTAGGAAGACACAACAATGCTACTCACTACGGGCTATTGATGACAAAATCGTATTGGTATTTTATAAAAATTGTAAAAAAGTACATATGCACGCATGTATGTATATGTATGGGATAAATAATTAAAACTAATGTACGTCTTTGCAAACTCTTATTTTTTTTTAATATGTGCGTAAAATCGTATGTATAATAATTTATCATTCGTAAGAACTCAAATTATGTTAATAGAAAACAACGGCAAATATTTTCGCTAACAATTAATGAGTTATAAATATACGTATTTTATAATAAAATGTACACGTCTTTTGCTGCGTAACAATTTGAATATTTGTGCAATTCGTCTACAACTCATTAAAAAACTAAAACTTACACGATATTTTAAGCATACAATTTTTATATAATATATAGTTCATAAACTATTTTTAATACCGTTTTTTTATTGCTATGTGGTGTTTTCAGTTAAATTGCCTAAATCAATTAGTTTTATAAATTTTTTTCTTTATCAACATACAAAACGCAGTAATAAAGAAACATACATACATATACTATGTACATACATACATAAGTATAGCATCTATATACTCATACGTAATACAAATGAAATTGCAATTAGAAGACTTTCAAAGCTAAACAAATGCACGAAACAGTATTTTAACGATTTTAGTTCTAAAATTTTAACAAAATAAAATAAATAAACAATATACCGCTATATTAGCAAATGTGTTTCATAAATTTTCACAAATTTTCACTGTACTACTATGCACCGCTAGACTACAAATGCACTTGTCCAAGTACAAGTACATTATATGCAATGTACGCATGTACATACATATCGTTGCCTTAATTAACAAAGGCTCCAACCAAAAAATTTTTTATTTTACAGAAGCAAAAAACCTTATAAAAGGAGTATAAAAGCAGGTAGGGCTTTTTAAAAAGTGGCATGTAAGTCCGTTGTTTTTGGTACTAACACTTTAAAATTTTGATTGAAGGTATATTTTAATGCATTCTAGTAGGATGACCCTACCAAAATCTGTGAAAACGCAGTTTTGAAAAGTGTTGGTTAGGAGCTTTGTGAATTAAGGTAACGTTATATAGGTATGTGTATTCAAATATCGCTAGCAGAAAATTTGTGTGCATTTAGATGCGCCATGAGGCCCTTTGCTGCAATACCCATAACGCGCGTTACAAAATTTCTCTTTCTATTACATAATAGGTTTTCTTAAATTGCCTATGATTTCCCTAATACTCAGTTAATTTAAGTTACTTTATCTGGTGTTGTAATAGGTATTGATTTCACGTTCCATATCACGTATTTCCATAATATCAGTTTTGAGTCGTTGTTTTAGTATCTCACGGAAAATGGCCTCCCGATCGCCGTTGTGACTGATGCCCATACGTTGTAGGGAATAATCGTTGATGCGGAGCAGCGCACGGCCCGTGATTTCATGCTAAAAACGAAAAACAAAGATAGTTTTTGTTAATACTACGTAAATAAGTTAAAATAAATTAAAGCCTTTATCATTCCAAAGTTGTCATCGTTTATCCACAGACATTAGAATACAAGTAGGTTAGGTTAGGTTTAGGTGGCTACCCCTAAAGAGGCTCACTTAGACCGTGGAAGTTGGTCCTTTGTGATACTATTGCGTACGGTAACTGCTACGTTAGAGCGAGAATAGCTGAGTGCCGAGAACAAAGTTTCGCATGTGGCCAATCTTAATTCCGAAAAGCTCCTCCGGACTTGTCAGAGAGTATGAATCCAAGTGTCTAAGGCGCAATCTTGCAAAAGCCGGGAAGTCTTGGAGGAAACGCTTAGATGACCCCACCTCATCGTCCTCCATGCAGTTGCGACAGAGGGCGTCCGGTAAGATATTTAATCTCACTGCATGAACCCCGACAGGACAATGCCCTGTCAGTACACCTACCAGAATCGCGAGATCTGGCTTCGCGTGCCTAAGGAGATCCCAGCGTTCGCTGAGTTGACCCGAGGCTCATCTTCACAAGATAAGTCCACAAATAGTCAAGGGAACTCCCACTATCTCTCTACTTGGCGATAATTCCTCAAGGGTGGCGCCTCTGGCCAGTTTAGCCGCCGCGCAGTTTTCTGTGATATCACTATGGCCTGGCACCCCGATAAGTCTGACAAAGTAGTATTCCGACGAAATCGAATACCGTGGCTGTTAGGGCTGCTAGATAGCAGGTCCGACTCAATGATACTCCACTTTTAATACTCACCTTCGAGAAAAGTTCCAGATATTGTGGATATTCGCCGCAATGCCGCATATACC